TACTGTATTTTTTATAAAAGAACAAGCTTTGGAACAGTATGCATAACAGGATACCGTTTTATCTTCTATGAGCGTGTGTGTGTGTGTGCACGTACATAATATGTGTGGGACCATGCAGAGAAAAAAGGCTGGAAGAGTATATACCTATCAGCAATATAAACTTTTGTGTTGTTTTAATTTTCACTGTGAGCATGCTTCACTTCAGTCTATCCCTTGAACCAGAAATTCTAGGAAATTTACTAATGAAAACATCATGGTGGTGAACAGATTTCTCTGTAAGGATATACACCCCTGTATATAAGCATGAACAACTGTTAGCACCCAAAATGAAAAGGGATTGATTAAATGAGTTATACATTTATACTATGGAGGAGTATATAGCCATTAAAGATAATTTACAAAACAGAAATAGACTCACAGACATAGAAAACAAACTTATGGTTACCAAAGGGGAAACATGGGGGAGGGATGAATTTGGAGTTTGAGATTAAAAAAAACACACTACTATATGTAAAACAGATAAACAACAAGGGCCTACTGTATAGCACAGGGGACTATACTCAATATCTTAGGTTAACCTATAATAAAAAAGAAACTAGAAAAGAATGTGTGTGTGTGTGTGTGTGTGTGTGTGGCTTCCCAGGTGGTGCAGTGGTAAAAAATCTGCCTGCCAACGTAGGAGGCGCAAGGGATGTGGGTTGTGGGTTTGATCCCTGGGTCAGGAAGATCCCTTGAAGCAGCAAACAGCAATGCACTGTATTCTTGCCTGGAAAATTCTATGGACAGAGGAGCCTGGTGGGCTACAGTCCATGTTGCAAAGAGTTAAGACTGAGTGCACGCGTGCACACACACACACACACACACATACACACACACATCTATATATATCTGAATCACTTTACTGTACACTTGAAACTAACAATTGTAAATCAATTATATTTAATAAAAATTAAAATTACCCACACTATAGTGACATATACTATTAAATAAAAATACTATAAAACATTATGTATAATGTGTGCCATTTCATTCAAATATATACACAAATAGAAATATTATTATGTAAATATGACCAGTAGCTATCTATGTAGGGTGGAATGATGGGTGATTTTTACTTTCTTATGATTTTTTTGGAAGAGAGGAGGATGTCAGAGATGGGGGCTCTAGTTCTACACTTCTCTCAGGGTTGAATTTCCAAGGACAATATACGTATTAAGGACCCACAGTTTTGAAGTGTGATGAGAAATCCTAGAGTAGACATTTTGTCCTGGGTTCCCTGGAGCAGCCACTTAGAAAGCCTGTGCAGCACTCAGTAGTCACTGATGGCCCACCAACATGCCCCCTTCTACTTGGTTCCACTGCCAACATGGTGCTACATCCCACGTGGTACTGCTCCCAACGTGGCCCTCTGTCTAACATGGAATTCCTTTTACATGCTGTCACCACCAACACAGTTCTGCATCACAAGACAGCTGTGCCACACAGTGGTTCTCTATCCAACATGGTGCTACACTCAACATGACATCAGAACCAACAAGGCAACTGAGCTGCAGGGTAACTGTGGCTTGAGGAAGTCTCCCAGGCAGTGGAGCTTGAGTTCAGCTTCACTGGCCAGCACACCCCAGTGAGGCGCCAGAACAGAGGCAGAAGGCAAGTAGTATACATAGGTGAACAAGGAAGGACCATCCACTCCCCCATTCAAGCTTCCTTACCTAGGGTCCCAGGAAGGAGGGTGAGAAGAGGAGAATCCTTGGGAAGGGGGCAAATGCTTTAACACAGAGGCAGAGATTTACACACATTTGATATGTGGTTGTTGAGCTTATATACACTACATTTCCCTTTGCCATGTCTGGTTTTCTCCCTTTGTGTGTGGCGGGGAATGATAAAACATTCAAGCTCATCAACAGCAACAGGTCCTTGGACCTGCATTCTGCAGATCTGTTGATTACTCTGGGAGCCTATTACCTTGGCCTTTCTTGAATTTACCCTCAGGAGAGATGTTTCTTGGGTCTTTTTGGCAGGCTTTTGCAAAATACATTTTTTCTATAACCAACTCTCCCTTTAATAACTTAAGCTCTTTGCCCTTTGAAAGTCCTTTTCTTTACTAATCAATTTTCAAGGATTATTTTAGTTTACTCGTTAACAATGATCACTGCTCTTGACATACACTGCATATTTTTATTGTGTAACACATATTTTAATCACATTGAAGAAAATGATTTAAGGAAAAAATTCCTCATGTTTCTCCAAGTTAATATGTTAAATTTTTCCAATTCAACTCTGAACGGAAATGATCTGACTCACTCTAATCAGTGTTCTAGTTTCTGCATTTAAGATGCTATTTAAGCTTGGGATTAACATACACACACTACTATATAAAAAATAGATAACGAACAAGGACCTACTGTATAGCACAGGGAACTCTACTTAATATTCTGTATTAACTTACATGGGAAAAGAATCTGAAAAAGAATGAATATATGTATCTCTATAACTGAATCACTATGCTGTACACATAAAACACAAATTTGTCAATCATATAAAGCAAAACAATTTTTAAAAAAGATGCCATTGTGCAGGTCCATATTGTTTGCCTTCAACATTGCTGTTGACTGCATGGTATTTCATTATATTGATAAATTAGTGTCTCTTGAGCCATTTCCCAAGTGTTAAGAGTTTAGGTAGACTGGGCCTTTAAAAAGTGTTGGGGGTAGTCTCAATAAAGGAACTTAAAATCACAAAGTGATTACAGATCTTCAGACAAAACAGTTCTAAAGAGAAAATCAAATTTTGGCTAACTATTAAAAGAATTAAAAGATCTCTCTTATTAATTTTAATGTCAAATAAACATGAAAACCAGTGTGTGTGAGCACTAGACATAAATAATAAAAGCAACAGTACATAAAAATCAACAGTGTATTCATGAAAACCATGTACAAATTAAGAAGAAAGGTATTACTAATTACTCATTAAAAAGTCATAGTCCCTCCCTTTTCTGGCCGACAAAGGGACTTCTCTAATTTCTTCTGAATTTGGCAGAGTGAAGAGGCAACATCATTCCACCAGTTCCACTGACTAAGATGTGTGGTCTTGTAAAGCAGGATCTGATTCCCCTGGGGGCATGCGAAGGCCTTCCTAGGGCTTTGATACATGTTTCCAGGTCCTCATTGCCCCAAAATTTTCTAACATTGGTCTGATCTAGGTCTGGATCACCAACAGCCCTTTGTCCCTTTATAAGAAAAAGGCATGCACCTTACCCTTCTCTACTCTTGGTGGGGGTTTCCTGTCTCTCTCCCTCTCTTGGGCTCATTTCTATTAAGAGTAAAGTTAAATTAAGAACAGGGCACTCTGCCTCAAGTTCTGAATTCAGATAAATGATAGAGTGAGGCAGTGGGAGTATTGATAACTTTTATTAAATAATTTTGTCTCTTCTATCCCCTGACTATAGACCAAGAATGCCGAGCTCTTGTTAGATAATCACTTATGAGCAGAACAAAAAAAGCATGAGTCATAAAAAGGAATGAAATATTGCCATTTGCAGCAACGTTGATGGACCTAGAGATTATCATACTAAGTAAGTCAGAAAGAGAAAGACAAATATCATCATATGATATCATATATCACTTATACATGAAAACTAAAATATGATACAAATGAACGTATTTACAAAATAGACTCACAGACACAGAAAAAAACCTATGGTTACCAAAGGGGATGGAGGAGGGATAAAATAGGAGACTGAGAATGACGTACACATAGTACTATAAGGGAAAAGAATCTGAAAAGGAATGTATGTGTATATATGCGTGCGTGCGTGTGTGTGTGTATGACTGAATCACTCTTAGACACTTGAAATTAACATGATATTGTAAATCAACTATACCTCAATTAAAAAAAAATAAGAAATTCTGTCCTGAATGCCAAAAATATCTCTCTGTATTTATGTAATGTAAGCAGGTCTTTAAATGATCATTCCTGAAAGAAAAAAAGCATCAACTATTGACAGTGATTCTTTTAAATATACCTGGAATGTTTTAATGGGACTACTAAGTCTCTTCAGATACATTGGATGAAACTCCCAGATAAAACTTTTAAGTGATTTATTTTAGATTTGTTGTGCATTACTTGACTAAGTAGTTAAAATCATTTTTATCAAATCATATCATGAAATATTTGTTATTATGGTAAATCTTTGTTGTTTTAAAAACTGAGGGGTTTTTTTTGTTTGTTTTTTGGCCTGGGGGGGAAAAAGGAAAGAAATTACATGCTAGTTTAATCAGTTTTTAGTAATAAATACTTTTCTGCTTCATTAAATAGGAAAACATTTCTTATAATGAAAATAATCAAGTTATTTACTATTTTCATACTTTATTTTTTATTTTTTTAAAAGCTAAACACCAGAATTTGCATCACATCCATATGTACATTCTACTCAGGGAAACCATGCATTTATCATACTCTTTGCATCATGTGATTTGTAATTTTAGCTATACATTACATTGTATTAAAATTAGTTAAGAAACAATATATTTATATATTTAAAATATTTTACCCCTTTACTTATTTGGCTGTGCCAGGTTCTTGGTTGGGGCACGTAGAACCTTTGGTGTTTATTGTGGCATGCAGCATCTTTAGAACTCTTAGTTGTGGAATGTGGGATCTATTCCCCGACCAGGGGTGAAACCTGGGTCCCCTGCATTGGCAACACAGAATCTTAACCACTGGACCACCAAGAAAGTCCTAAGAAATAGTATATTAATATATTATCTTGTTTTTAATAATTATAGAATGGACAACCTAAAATAAACTCAGATGTCTCCTGACAGTAAGTAATTCTGATTTAACGGCAAAGAAGAAAGCTGTTAACAACTGGGTTAGCTAACATTTTCCATCTCTTTTCCATCTCTTAAAGGAACTAAAGTTGCAGTTCCAAGGTTACGAAGAAAACACTTTTATGACATGTGCTGTATTTAGGTGCACACTTCAGTGGCATTAAGTACCTTCACATTGTTGTGCAACCATCAGCACTGTTCATCTCCGGAACTTCTAGTCTAGACACAGAGCAGCCAGGTTTTCAGTCTAAGAGCAGGAGAGCTTCCTAAAGGGAAGAAAGCAGATGCCAGGGTAAAGATAAAGGAAATTCTTGCAGTAGTTGACCTGTGATTCTCTGAGGAAGTAAAGGGAGCAAGTGAGTTTACAGTGTTCAAGGATAGAAGGATGATCCTCCACAATTTTGAAGGAGCACCACTGCTGTGATGAGGTCAAGCATGGAGCATGGTATGGAATTTCAGAAGCTCTATGTCCTGTGATTAGAACCCACGGGCTGCTAGTGAGGGAAGAGCCTAGTAAGTCCAGAAGGGGAATTTGGGTGATGTACCACAGCACCTTTTGTGTTGATCAATCCACCAGCTTCATGCAGCAGATCTAAGCAGTTCAGTGCTAACTTCTCAGTTCTGATGAAAATTCCATAAAAAGTTTCAGCACACATTATTTCTGTTCCTCCTCTGACTAAGTTCATGCTGTTTCTGTCTTCCAGAGATCTATCAGCCACTGGTGAGGTTGGAAGTGTCTCTCATCCTTCTTTCATAAGCAGTGTGGTCTGATGCTAATACATGGACTTGGGTGGTAGGTGGCCCTGGAGTTGAGGCCAGGTCTGCCTCTTTCTGTGGATCTTTGGCAAAGGTGTCAGTCCTTCTCAGCCTTGACTTGCATGCAGATTCTCTATAAAATGGATCAAATATTTGCCTCATTGGACTGTTGGGAAGATAAAGTAAGATGATGACTATACCCCATTTCTATTAACCCATTCTACAGCTTTCATTTAATTAAGATAATTGTGCCCACTTTGCTTCTTAAGAGTTACATGCTATATCACTTGGCCTCTATTATTGATATTTTTGCATCCTATGAGGAAGACTGGTTGTCTAAGAGCATCTCCACTGTTAGCCCCAGATTCCAAAGACCAGTCATCACTGTTTTCTCTTGATGCTAGTACCTCTTTCACCTGTGCATTCTTGACTGCTTTGATAAATGGAATGTCCTCTGGGCTCTCCCATGAACAAGGTTAAATCAGAGGATGGGTTGAGAAAACAGTCCATGGATTAGACACAAGTAGATTCAGCACAAGAAGGAATGAACTCCATCTGAGATGGGGAGAATACACAAAAAACTTTTGGTATCAAATTTAATAAAACACTGACAAATTTGTGGTCAAAAAGACTTAGGCCTATGTTTTCATCTAAGAGTTTTACAGTTTTATTTAGGTGTTTGGTCCATTTTGAGCTAATTTTGTGAGGCAGTAGTTGAAATTCACTTTCTTTTTTGCATTAAAAAATTTTCATTGAAATATACTTGATTTATAATATTGTATTAGTTTCAGATGTACTGCAAAGCGATTCAGTTTTATATATATATATGTTTTACAGTCTCTTCCATTTTAGATTATTACAGGATATTGAGTATAGTTCCCTGTGCTATACAGTAAGTCCTTGTTGGTTATCTATTTTACATATAGTACAATAGTTTATATATTTTAATTTGAAACTCCTAATTTGTCCCTCACCCCTCTCTCTCCTTTGGTAAGCTTGTTTGGTATGTCTATGAGTCTACTTCTGTTTTGTGAATAAATTCATTTGTATCATATTTTTCAGATAAAACATATATATGATATTTGTCTTTATCTGGCTTACTTCACTTAGCATGGTAACAAATTCATTCTTTTGCATTTGGATATGCAGTTTGTCCCATGATCAACTGCCAGAATTAATGACCTTTCAGCCTTCTTTTTGTGGTCCAATTTCCAAGGTTTTTTTAATTTATTTTTTTGCATCAAAAATTCAGTCAAAGCTGAATTTAGTCACTTTAAGTCTCAACATGATATCACAAATTTCCCACCAACTGTACAAAATGTCCCTTAGGGCCAGTTTTAAATTAGGCTCACACAACGAAATGCACATTTCATTTGAAAGCTTTTGTGCAGGTGTGCCCAAGCTATCAAATCCAATTAAACAGGAGCAAATGCATTAATAGTTGAAGACTTAGTTTTACATCAGGCTGTCCCTAGAGACGTTCCAAGCAAATAAAATAGTGAAATCCCAAGAAGCCATTTTTTTTTTTTAGACTAGCCAAGATAAACTGGTACTAAGTAATTTGGAAGAGTGTCAAGTGGGATTCATTACAGCACTGATTCTGAGAAGAGGGTGCCAACTGCATTTGCCCTTGAAGGATAAGTTGATCTTTGACCTCTGGCAATGAACCTCAGGGTCCTTGGGTGATGGGACAGGGTGGGCAATAGCTCTAAAGTAGAAGAGAGTGGTATACGTACAGAGTAAGGTGTAGAGGGCAGTTAGGCTTACAAAGACATGCTGGGACAGACAGGGGTAGGGTGGGTAAGACAGCTCAAACGCCTGGCTTTAGAAACATGAAATGTTGTTAAGAAAAATTACTTGGAAAAAAGGCAAGAAGGTAGGTGGCACGTACTTTTGATGCATTACTGGGAACTAAGAGGGCTGGTGGTCTCGTCCAAGAGTAATTTCATTACCTAGCCTAACGGAATAAAGCATTGTTATTACTATCAATTATGAGCTTAGACTCTCAAATTATAGGCTTGATATTATCCAATAGAAAACATAACCCCAAAGGGTACAGTTTGAATGCTCTCCTCTTTTATATCAAATCTAACGTCTTAATTCTAACATTCCTTTTTTACTCTTAGTTTGCTTTTACAAATCTCTATGAATACCCAATTCTTCAACATGCTCTTATAACCAGCTTTAACTAACTGGTTCCCTTATTAATAAGTTATTACAATAAATCTTTGACACATATTCATTCTGTATTTGTATGAGTCATGTTTCCAACATTTTTAAAAATTAAACTTTGACAAAATTCAACCATGATGACCTAAACTATCCTTTAAGCATCCTTTGAGGAAAAAAGCAGCCCTCACTCCACCGAGGATCCCAACTACAAATGATCACTGGATTCCTCATTCTGCATGAATTTGTAAAGGACTAAAAAGTTTTAAAGCTGTGAAAATGTATTCCAAGGGAACAGGAGGCTCATTCCTGATGGCTATGATACTACACCACAGTACAAACCCTAGGAAGCCAGACATGGCAGGTGAGCCAGATGTTCTCATATGATGAGCATGTATTAATATTTAAGAATGATTTCAGGTAGTCTTTCACCTTAGCTAGCTGCTGCTCCATTGTTGAAAGTCCACATAAAGACCTTCAGATTCTCATCAAAGTGAAAGTCGCTCAGTTGTGTCCGACTCTTAGTGACCCCGTGGACTATACAGTCCATGGAATTCTCCAGGCCAGAATACTGGGGTAGCCATTCCCCTCTCCAGCAGATCTTCCCAACCCAGGGATTGAACCCAGGCTTCCTGCATTGCAGGAGACTTCTTTACCATCAGGTAAGCCCTCAGATTCCCATAACCTAGCATATAAAGCTGTCTAACCACTGCTTTGGTTCTTTGTAGCAAAGAAAACCCTTCTTCAAGTATGATCCAAAACTACTAAGAAACTCACTAATGGGGCTAACATTCACTACCTAGATTGCCCTCATCTGCCCTCTTTTCTGTCAGATGATTATTAATCAGTGCTCAGCTTATGTATCATGTCCTTTCTAAACTCCTCTGGCATAAAGAGTTACTTCCTTTTCCCATAGCACTCTGGTCCCATCTTTACAGTACTTGCAATACAGTACTCTCCCCGAACTGTTTGAAGTGTTTCCCCAGTTACTCTGACAGCCTCCCAAAGCCAGAGATTAATTTATCTCTGTATCCTCTGTTTCTACCCACAGGTTTTGGCAAATAGAGAGGAGTCAAGAAATTGCTGTTGAGAGAGCACGTTTTTGGAAAAGTTCTCTAGTGCCATCATAACTGGTAAACCAAAAATAAAAACAAAGGATGTTCATAGAGAGAAGAAAAGATTACTAATTTATTACTCCAGGCTTGGGATTAATTTCAACTTCCTTAGGTCCTTGTGTTAGATGAAACAGTATCAAAGGGCACAATTTCTGTAACTCAATACAAATGAGCCTTTTCAGTAAGATCTGAGCATCAGTTCTCTACACACAAACCATTTCTCAATTTAAAAAAAGCATGGAAAATTACTGCCTGAGTTTCCTCTCTGAGTTGTGAATGCTGTCTGGTGAGGCAGAAATTAGATTGTATTAGGGGCAAAATGACAAAAAACTGTCTTTACCATATGGGGTACTTGGCTATTCTGAATTATGTTCAGTCATATACTAGGGTTAAGTAGTATAAACCAAACGAACAGATGCTCTGCATATTACAATAGGGTTAAAAGAGTCTGTAAACATTCGGCAATCTCTAATCTTAAAAGCAGTTCACATTCATTTGAAATGGACAATGGTGCACATTTACAATTTTTCCCAAAGCTACCTTAACTCTTTGACTATGGTCAAACTATAAAATGGAGAAATCCAAATAATATGGACATTCTTCAGAATATCACATTGGTCCACTATGTTGATGACATCATGTTAATGGACCAAATACGCTATATAAATGGCTAGCATGTAGGTATCTTCGTTATGTGCTACCACGACTGAGAGATAAATATTATGGAGAATTGGGGACCACCACATCAGTAAAAAAATTTAGGGGTTCAGTAGTCCGGGATGTCACCTCCAAAACAAAAGACAAATTATTGCATCTTGAACCTCCCACCAGCAAGAAGAAAGTAAAATGCATCTTTGCCCATATTGGAAATAGTCAACCTTTTTGACTTTAGCTGTTCTGATAGGTACGTAGTGACATCCTGCTCCATTTTAAATTTGCATTTCCTCAATGGCTTCCCCGATAGCTCAGTTGGGTAAAGAATACACACACAATGCGAGACTGCAGCTCGATTCCTGGGTGGGGAAGATCCGCTGCAGAAGGGACAGGCTGCCCACTCCAGTATTCTTGGCCTTCCCTGGTGTCTCAGCTGGTAAAGAATCCCCCTGCAACGCGGGAGACCTGGGTTCAATCTCTGGGTTGGAAAGAGCCCCTGGAGAAAGGAAAGACTACCCACTCCAGTGTTCTGGCTGGAGAATTCCATGGGCTGTACAAGTCCATGGGGTTGCAGGGAGTCAGACACAACTGAGCAACTTTCACTTTTAATGACTAATGATGTTGAGCGCTTTGCATGTTCTTCTTTGCCACCTGGATGTCTTCTTTGATGAAGTGCCTGTTCAGAACTCTTACTCATTTGAAAAATTGTGCAGTTTTCTTACTGGTGATTTTTGGCAATTCTTTGCATATTCTGGATTCAAGTTCTTTATTAGATATATGCGTTGGCAAAGATTTTTCTCCTAGCTTGTGCTTTGTGTTTTCATTTTCCTAACATTGTGTTTTAAGAAGCAGGAATTTTTAATTTTGGTAAAGTCCATTTTATCAATTTTGTTTTATGGACTGCGCTTTTATTGCCTAAGTCAAGGTCACAAAGGATTTCTTCTGTTTTTCAATGTGAGGTTTGACATTTAGGCCTATGATTCAACTAGAGTTAATTTTTGTTTATGGTGTGAGATATGGATCTGAGTATATTGTTGTGGCTCATGGGTTCTACAGTGCATGCTCAGTAGTTGTGGTGCATGGGCTAAGCGCTCTATGTATGTGGAATCTTATTGGACCAGCAGTTGAACCCATGTCTGCTGCACTGGCAGGCAGACTCTTAACCACTGGACCGCCAGGGAAGTGTTCTATAATGTTTTGAGTGTATCTCTTGTACAGATTTTTTTTGGGGTATTTACTCTAAATCTTACATTATACATACATTACTTAACACAGCCTACTGGTTTTAATATTTTACCACTTCAAATTAAGTATAGAAAACCGTAGTCCCCTATTTATAACTGTCTTAAATATTTCTTCTATAGTCACTGCAAACCAAATCAGATATTATATAGAGATATTTTCTTGTTTCAACTGTCAAACATAATTTAGAAAGCTTGAGAACAGGAAGGATATTGTATTTAGTAATATTTTGTTCTATTGTGCTTTCCTTTTTCCTGACAGCTTAAACTTCCATCTTTTATTATTTTCTTTATATTTGAAGAACATTCTCCAGAAATGTTTACAGTAGGTTCAGTGGTGACAAATTCTTAGCTTTTATAAGTTTTCTCTCATTCCCGAAGGATAATCTTACCATATAGAATTTGGAATTGACAGGGTTTTTCTTTTCCCATAGGTTTATTGTATTATTGTTATTTATTTCGGTCACACCAGGTCTTAGTTGTGGCATACAGGATCTTTATTTGCATATGTGGTATCTAGCTACCTGAACAGGGATCGAAGCCAGGCCCCCTACATTGGGAGTGCCAAGCCTTAGCCACTGGACCACCAGGGAAGTCCCTAACAGTTTTCTTTCAGAAACTGGATAATGTTGTGCTACTTACTTCTGACCACCATGGTGCTGATGAGAAATCTGCCATCCAAAAAATGTTTCCTGTAGGTGTTATTTCTCTTTCATTGTTTTCAAGATTTTTTGTTTTTTTAGTTTTCAGAAGCTTAAATTTGACGTACCTGGGTATAGATTTCTTTGGGTCTATTCTGTTTTGGATATGTTCAACCTCTTGAATCTGTAGGTTTATCTATTTTGACAAATTTGTAAGTTTTCAGCCATCGATTCTTTGAATACTTTTGAGCTTTTCTTTCTTCTCTTCTTCTGGGACTCTGAGTCTCTCTGATTTATAGATAGGTTCATTTGTGTCATATTTTAGATTCCACACATAAGTGATATATGGTATTTGTCTTTCTCTTTCTGGTGTCAGCATCTTTCAAAATTGTATTTTGTCATTCAGTTTGTAATTCTCCTGATGAATGATTTTTAAAAAATGGTATCCTGGACCATCAGAGCATTATGAGACTCGATCTTTTGTAAACCTTCTATTTTAGAATGACCTCTCTGACACTAGGCCAGATGGAATGGAGTGTCATCTCCTAAGTGCCAGGTGGGGGTGAAATTTCAGGTTTCCCATTTCACCTTCTATGATACCCCAGAGGGGGGAGTGGTGCCTTGTTCTTGTTGGATAGAAGTGCAGATTTCTGGCTTCCCACTGGGCCTGACAATTGATAACCGATACAAGGATAAATGTGCAAAGTAGCTGAGAGCAGAAAGCAATATTGCTTCTTAAATTTTTTGTTAATTCATTTAGAAGCTTTCTTTTCTTGGCTTCTATGTGGCCACACTCTCCTGTTTGTTATTAATTTCACCTGTGTCCCTTTGCTGGCTTATTATTCTTTATAACTTGTAAAGTCTAAGTTCTCAAATGCTCAGTCCTGAGTACTGTCCTTTTATCTGCTTTTCTTCTTCAGTTGTACTTTTCCCCTAGGAAATCTCATGCAGTCCTATAGCTTTAAATATCACTTGTATACTGAGGACTCCAAAATTTCTATTTTCTTATGAGGAATACTCTAAATTCCTGATGGGTATTTTGAACTGCTCACTTGATATCTCCATCTGAATGTTTATCAGCATTTCCTGCCTTAATACACTGAAAGCATAATTATTAATCCCAACCTCTTTCTTCCGGTCTCAAGTCTTCACCAGTTATCTAGGGGTTGAGGTAAAAATTTAGGATTCATCTTTGATTTCTTTCTTTCTCTCATACCCCACATACAAAACACTGGTAATATTAACAAACTAGTCTGTATCATTCTGCACCCTTCTCATTGTTTGGATATGCTTACACAAGCACTTATTAATATATTAGTATGCACATCTTGGGCTTCCCTTGTGGCTCAGCTGATAAAAGAATCTGCCTGCAAAAAGGGAGACCTGGGTTAGACTGCTGGGTTGGGAAGATCCCCTGGAGAAGCGAAAAGTTACCCACTCCAGTATTCTGGCCTGGAGAATTCCATGCCATACAGTCCATGGGGTCGCAAAGAGTTGGATACAACTGAGCCACTTTCACTGTCATGCATATCTTGGTTTAATAGACATAGACTCCAAATACTTACTTTTTAAAGTTAACACCCCTTTAAGCCAGTAGATACACAATTTTTTCTCCTATTTTCTTAAAGGAGCTCTAAATATATACAAACATCTACAGATCAACATATATTTACCAGGGTATGGTAGTAGTAATTTTTCCTTATTTTTTTCTCACTCCCTCCTTCAATTCTCAAAACAAATTGACTAAATGGCATGTATTTGTTCCTATCTTTCATCATCCTCACAAAATCAAATAAGTATATGCATGTATATATGTATATTTATATATGTCTAAAAATTTTGCTTTTCCCATTCAAAAAATCCCGAAACCTCATGAAAACTCCTCCAGAGTATCTCGT